ATGTAGAAAGAACCTTCTGAAAGGATATGGATTAATAAACTGTGGTATACATATTGATACACTGATATACTAGAAAATGTTAAGTTTCAAAATTATATAGATAATAAGATAGCATTTATGTAAACTCTTAACATCCCGTAATTAATAGGTACATATAAATAAATATATAAACCAAAACAACTCTGATTCCGATATATGGTGACCTCATGTGTTTCAGAGTACAACTGCACTCCGCAGGGTTTTGATGGCTGTATTCTTATGGAAGTAGATAGCCAAGTTTTTCTTTTGTGGAAACACTGGGTGGATTCGAACCACCATCCTTTCGTTTAGTGGCTAAGGGCAAACCATTTGTGCCATGATGGGTCCTTAATGGATATACACTTATATAATAAAAGTTAAAAATATATATATAGGGAGAGAGAGACAGAGAGAGAGGTATGTGTAATGCATGTATATATATATATGAATGATATAGAACCACTTCAGGACAATAGGAGGGAGTGAGATGGAAAAGACAGAGGTGGGCTTTTGTTGTTACTGTAGGAATTTAAATAATATCTTAGAGCAAATATCAAGATCAATTAAAAATGGTGCATAGTGCTTACTGTATAAGTTTCTGTACAAGTCTGCATGTTTGCAATATTTTATAATTTATTATGTATATGCTTAACTTAAAAACAAAACAAAAAAACTGCTTCTTATATGCTTATAGCTTGAGTAGACTTTTTAGATTTCCTGGTCAGACATGTAAGGGAAACTTGTGAATGAGCTCAGTTACAAGTAGGAAAAGCCAGGCTATGGGAAGTACAGAGCTACTGTAGCAGTTTCTCCCACAAGCCTATAGCTAGCACATTAATTAAAGATAATTAGCCAAGCAGCAGGTTATAAACCAAGGTTGCTCAAAAGCAGCAAGTGAAGCTGAACCGACTTGGAAGTAAGACTCTCTCTGATGACACATAATTCTAGAGAAAGCGTTCAAATGTGTGAGAAGAAAGCAGAAAGTGAGACCGCACAGAGCAGCAATCTAGCAGAGCGGATGGCAGATTCTAGACAGCTGGGTTTTGAGGGCAGAGCTGACCAGGAAAGCCCTGGGAAAAGATAAATGTTTACAGGTATCAAGAGAACTGAGAGCCAAAACTATAAACTGGGGAAAGAGAACATAATAAGTAGATAAAAATTGTGATACCATCCTGTAAAAGTCAAATTGGAGAAAAATTTTAACTTTGATTACTAAGCAGAAGTAGGAATCTAGTACAGATCTGTCAAATCCCTAAATCCTTACTGAGTTCCTAGAATAGAAAATGGCAGGAAGAAGGTGAAGAAACTTTGAAATTGAGATTCTGAATGAAAATCCTGGAGCTGTTACAATCGTAGTATTCTACTTATTTTGGTCAAGTGCTTAAATCTGGTGTTTGCCTAAGTAGTAATAAATAGTGAAACAGTCTTACAACTGTAGTTAACATCTACAGTCTAATAAAAATGAAAAATATATACATATTATTTTTTTTCTTGACAATTAGTGAGGAGTCAATAAACAAATTCATGCAAAAAAAAAAGTAATTTTATAAGAACTATTAACAACTGACAAAAGGAAGTTGCAACGATTTTGCCATGACTGTAAGGATAACATAGACTTCAATCTTTACTTACACAGAAATAGAGCTGAAATATGTTTTTGAAATATTTAGGAACATAAATCCAAATGTGCTAAATGTAGCTTTTATAGATCCATAAATTTAGCTATCTAAATCTTAAATATAATAATACAGGAAATTATGCAGCTAATTTAATTTTTAAAATGTATATCTAAAGTTTCACCAAAACTAGATTATTGTGTCTGCACTCCTAAAGTGTATTTAATTCACATCTTGTCAAGGTTGTTTCAAGGTCTCTATGAATTTTACATTAACACTGATTGTTGTTAAGTTTGCAAGTACCCATAAAGACATCAAAAATTGCACTCTGTTAAATTTGATAAACATACTATTCCAGTAAATATACGAATTGAACAATTTAAAAAAATTTACACATGATTGCTGCTTCAGTTCCCAAAAGCACATGTGTGTTTTAAGTTACTTTCTTATCTTTTGTTAGGCTTTTCTATTGTCTGTGTCTCCCTACCCAGCCCCCACTTTTCCCCACCTTCTGTCTCTGCCTTCTCCTGCTTCTACACTGCTTTGATTTACACTGTTTAAAGCAAAACAAAACATACTGTTTCAGTTAGGATGTGTCCAAGGTAGAACAAACTGCAGTGCTCAGACTTTAAAACTGACAGAAGCCAAATAGACACAGAAGTATAGATAAATATAAATATTGGTACTGAAAAATAAAAAGGAGGTAGAGCTAACCCAAAGAATATAAGAAAATTTCCTTGAAAATATAGCACTGGGCCAGGCTCCACTGAATTCTATATTCTATGTTTGAAAAAGTTGAATAGCAATTTGAAAAAGTTAAATAGCAGTTCAAAGAAAGTATGGAAGACAACTAAAATGAAAATGGGTTGTAAATCAACAGGGAACAGGCCAATCATTCAACAGACACCAAATGAAAGACTGCCCTGAGGCTATACCCTCAGGCTGTAATCTATATGGGAGCAGATTGCCAGGTCTTTCTTCTGTGGAATGGCTGGGTGAGTCCAAACAGGTATCCTGAGGATGGGTAGCATGTGAAAGTGTGAAACACATCTCCTTCTCTAGACAAGTTCCAATCCTACCCACAAAAAAGCAACATAATTCTTGATTCAAATAATAAAGTCTTGGCATGATAGGGTTAACCTTGAAGAAGTGTTGGTTCTTTTCTTCTCAATAAAAGCATTAAAAGGGGAGTCTCTCAAGAGTAGTGTTGACAGTACTAGCATGAATAGGTGAATTGTCTATATCGATTAAATACCGAAGAAAGGGGAAGGAGATGGCATTAGATCTCTTCATATACACAAGAAATGAGAAATACTAAATATATTAATTAAATTAGCACTTGCCAGCAATGAAGTTTTATAGTAGACTTAAGGCAAATCAAATGTTAACTTTCGCTTTCATTCTCTGCATATATGTATGTATGTATGTATGTATGTAAGAAGCACTGGTGGCACAACAGTTAAGTGCAGCTGCTAATCACAGGAGAAAGACCTGGCAATCTGCTCCCATAAAAATTACAGCCTAGAAAACCCTATGGAGCAGTTATACTCTGTCACATGGGGTCTCTGTCAGTCAAAATTGACTCGATGACTCCTAACAACAAAAAGGGGTATCTGTATGCATATATGTTTATGTAGATATGTTGGTCTGGAACATATGGTAATACTTGTGGCTAGGAGAACCTTAGGCAGTCTTATAGAAAACAAATATTTTTCTCTTTGTATGGAACAAACGAGGATACATGCTATGCCCACAGTGGTTCAGAGCACATGCTTTGGTATCAAACAACCCTGGATTCAAGTTCCAGTTCCACTACTTGCTAGCAGGTAGACTCTAGGCGAATTCTGTAACCTCTTTGTGTCTCATTTTCCTCATTTATAAAATGGAGATTGTGATGGTGAATAATCTGCGTCCATTGGGCTAGGCTACGCTGCCCAGTTGTTTGGCCAAACACTTGCCTAGATGCTGTGATGAGGTAGTTAAAGGTGATTAAATCAGTTGACCTGTAGGGCATATTACCCTTCATAATATGGGCAGGCTCAGTCAATCAGTTTTCAGCCTTAAGAGCAAAAAGGAAGTTAATTATTGGGATAACTGAACAATATAATCTACCAAAACAGTTATATCATACCCAGATGGGGGGAGGCAAAACATAGAAATAACACTACAATCAAGAAATTATTGTCATTATTCCACTTGGCTTTGGAAAACAAAAATGCAAAAGACCATAGAGCAAACTAGCCAGTAACATAAACTAGCCTGCAAAAGTCCTTAATAATTGTTGTGGGCAATTTAGTGATAAATGTGGTTTCAGGCCTTGTGAATTGATTATGAAGACAGATTCCACAAACTGGTAAATGGTATTGGTTGCATGTTCTAAAGACACAGTTGTATGGAAAATAGCACTAGGAAAATCATTTAAAGCCATATTATATTGCTATGGATTATACATGTAGCTTTTAAGTGCTGTTCAGTATAAGTGAAACCTAAAGGTTTTTCATTTCCCTCATACAAGAGATTCAAGAGTAGTGTGGAATCTAGAAAATGGATTCAACATAATTCTGTCTATGAGCCCTGGAAGTCCTATCTTCAGTTTGGTTAAACTTTGTCATTTCTAAACATTTGCTAAATTAAATACTTTTTCTTCCCCAACAATGCCAAGTATGGTATATTTACCTACAAAGCAGGGTCAAGTAATCTTTAACAAATACTGATAAAATGAATTACTCATGGCAACTACTGTTCATTTCTGTGTCACTGTTGACATTGTCAAGACAGAATCGAATGCATTAAAAAGAATGAATATTTTCTCCATTTCTACAATGATAATTAAGGAATAATTATTGCAAATAAAATACTTTAAGTAAAAATATTACTGTTTCAGAAACAAATGCTAACTTATTAAGTGATCACAGTCATCTACTGGAACAGAACAGATGCTTTTATTATGTTTTCCTTTTTTTCACCATGTTTAAGAATGAAGAATGGTAATTATTAAATGAATGGTAACTCATATGGGTTTAACCAGAAAAATAAATGAATTCTAGCATAGGAAAAGTGTTTCCTTGTTTCTATTCACTAAATGCTAATACCACATGCTCACAGTAACATACGAAGATGAGAGTTTTGTTTTGTCCTTCTAGAAATGTGTATTATACTTAGCAATACTTATTCTTTCCCTCACTCCTTCGTGCTTTATATAAAATAACTAACCTAGTTTGCTATGACTCTATGAACAAAGAGGTAAAACTTTCTCATGTAAGACTTTAGTTTCATTGGGATTGTGTTTAAATCCATTCTACCCTGGCCATCTCAGATGATGACACAGATATAACAGATTAAGATTTATAGTCAGAAAACACTCACCACAGTTGGCCTCATCTGATGCATCTGCACAGTCTGGATCTTCGTCACAAACCCACAGCTTGGAAATGCAATGTTTGGTTGTTTTACATTGGAAATAGTCGGGAGAACAGCTGTTTTCAGCTTAAGAGGAAAACATCCTGTTAAATATGTAACTTTGGATAAAACAGACATTTTATTTAAAAACCAATTAGACAAACAAACGTTAAGACAGTCAGCTGAAAATGTGTTATCTTTTAATTATAGGGCTCTGAAAGTGAGGTGTTTTAACTTTGGATTACCTATAATGTATTCCTAATATCGTTTCCAGAGGAAATAGATAAAGAAAAGAAATTGTGCGCTCATTAGATATTTAGGAAAAAAATTAAGATTTGATAGTTCAGGACTTGCAAAATGATGTTTGCTGGATAAATAAAGTTAAGAATGTATACATATGCGTGTTTATAAACTGAAAATGATTAAAATCGAAAGACACTAAGTGGATCAAGAGAGAAAAAGCATAAATTTTATCAAAATCACAAGAAGTTGTGTTGAATTTTTGAGGAAAAATGTGAACATCCACCTCAGATTGTAAGCTGTACCACAAGTCCTAGTCAGTTTAATGGATCAGCTTCCAGAATGGCTAACCATAAAGAACTGGTTCTGACTTTATTCTGAATGCACCATCTTAATCAAATTGCTGGATGACTGCACATTATCTACTGATAAAAGTTTTAGATGAAAAAATAAAACTTCAGCAAGACAGAAATTGTTGACAGCTGTTCTGTTGAAACCCTGAGACTTGGCAGGAGCCCTGTCATCCAGACCCTATGTGTGTGTGTGTGTGTGTGTGTGTGTGTATGTGTGCACTAGTATGTGTGTATATTATGTAAACTGCTTTGCTTCCACTTAATGTAACTTGACTTTTGTGTAGAAAATGGAAATAAGAAGTGAATAGATTAGAAGATATTTTACTATTATTCTTTCAAGTCGGCTGTTAAAAAATATTGTAGCATCATTTATACTTATCAAGTAATTTTGCTATGTCATCTTGCCCAGTTTTGTATTCATCGTAAGTTCAATATGCATTTTATGGGAATAAATGATCTCTAATAGAAGTGGAGTTGAATTAACGTGACTAATCAATAGAAGTCAATTACATGTATCCACTTAACATGGACAAAGTAATCAATTTATGAAAAACAAACCATAATTAGCTGCAAAGTTATTTCACTGCTTCTCTTACAAGAATGTATTTTGTTTCATATTTACTATGATCTCCAGGTGGTTTTAATGTAAAAATCACCCATGTTTTAATTTTCTCTATATTCTTTATGTACAGCTTCTTAAATAATACATCCCAGTTGACAACTATGTATAACCACTTATCCATAAGTGCTGTTGTATTTTGCTACACTGTATGAATCTTTATAGTATGATTATACTCTTTAGACAGATTCCATTCAGGAGTCAGAAGTACAAGACAGAACATTTTCAACATTTTCAGGTGGCTTACGACAGTCCCTTTCATCTTCCTCATCACCACAGTCATTTTGTCCATTACATCTGAGATTTACTGGGATACATTTCTGGTTCTTGGTACACTTGAATTGACCTGACAAGCAGACATGGGTATCTAAAAGATAGAATAAAAAATCTGAACTGAAGCCTGTGTCTGAATTTAAATCAGTGCCAACATCATCAGTTAAGAATTAGATTTATGTTCCCTAGTTAAGAATTTAATCACCTACCACAGTTGAGTTCATCAGAATTGTCCCCACAATCATTCTCTCCATCACAGATGAAAGCAGGCAGAGCACAGAGTCCAGTTCCACACTGAAATCGGCCTGGCTGACATTTAAATTCAGCTGGTGGAGGAAAAAATATACGCATCATGGAATGGCAGACTTAAGTCATGAATTCTTAAACAGAGACTTTCTGACATTCAAAATATTTATTATGTTATATTAAACATACTCTAGAACACAGTGTGAATATCTCACATCTAGCTACCTATTAGATTCAGATGTACAACTAAGCTATGAGTAACAAGGTGGCCTCCAAATTACATTTCATAAACTAACAGTGAGAGGGAAGGAATTGTTAGCAAGATATAAATGTATGCTAATTTTAATGAAGTATATTGAGAGGCTAAATGGCAGAATATAATTTATTATAATTAAAAAAAAATTATTCCAATCTCTGTTTTTTTAAAGTCACATCTTCTAGATCACTTTGCTGCTATTACGTGTGAGAAACTCCATGTGCCATCAATACATATTCCCCAGCACTGTTTAAAACAAATATTTCCTATAATTATTACAAAAAATCATTTATTTTTAATTTTTCATTTATTTAATCCTATTATTATAGATAAGGACAATATCTTGTAAAGTAAACAATAAGTATTTTATATATTATATACATGTTATTTTAATAAATAGCTCCCAGATAATAATACTTTCTATTTTTGCAGCATTCTTTGAGTTTATATAAGGAATAATAATAATAACAACGTAAAATTCATTGAATATTCTGTCTCAGACACTAGGTAAGGCCCTTTCACATATAGTTACTAATTGATTTCCCATCATAACCTCCAAACCTTAGCATCACCATGACTATTTTAAAAATGGGAAAAGGAAATCTCATGTATATTCTATAATCCACCCAAGGATGTACAGCTCTCAAGTGCCAATTCTGGAATTCAAATCCAGCTATGACTCTGAAGTCCTCCCACAAATATATTACTTGAAATAAAACATTTATCTTTTGACTGATGATCCCAATGTATGCTGGTCATCACTGACTTTGAAATTAATAATATGCTGATTATTAGTTCAAATCAGCGACTCGAACACTAATAACACCTTAATTTTCTCATGCTCTAAACATTGCATTTCCTCTATTTGCTGTTTCTTCACATATAATTTCCTTTAATGGTTTATTGTTACCAGAACAATTCTCCCATAAAAAAGGCTCCAACCACTACAGGAAGTTTCATTATCTGGGAAATAACTGGAAAACCCATCTGACATTCAAACACACCCTAGAATGAATCATGGAGTATTAAATAGTCAAAGGTAATGAAGATATAAACTTAAGATGCCAAAGCATTCCTGATGAGTCACCCTTAACTACATTTATGTAAATACATTATGTGAATATGCAAGTATGTGGCCCTGAGATCAGGGTTTTCTGCCTTCTCAGCTGAAGTTATAGGTATAGTCAGTGGCTCTTAGAACCTGATGATTTTTGATGACGCAGCTACTCAAAAACGAATTCTAAACACTCCACTGACTAGTGTATACTATTTTCTACCTCATCATGACTCAAAATAAAGTGTCACGCTTACAGATGTCCAATGCTGTTAACCCACCCACTCCAAGTAAAGATCATTTGCTTAAAAGAACAGAGATCATGCCACCGACAAAAACATGTAGACATCAATAATTAACCAGGATTAGAATTATACAGAAGCCTTAGATACTAGATGCCTCTTTTTTTTCGCATCAAAAGACACTAAAGTCATATTTAATTACTGCATATTTTGAAAATAGATAAACATTAAAAAGGTCAGTATATTAAATTTATAGTTAATTTTTTACATCAGTATGGTTCAGGAAAGAAAGCTTAGTCAAGATTAAAATTATATATTGTTTTAAGGAGCTGCAAATATTTTGGAAGGTTTTAAGGAGCTGCAGATATTTTAGTGTTGGGCACCATTGACTTACTTTGTCTGCAAATCATTATGGTGGTATTTCCTTAGACAATACGTTAATCTGGATAGAAAATATCATCTTTTTAATATGAGGGCTAAACTAACATTTTCATTTTTGTTTACTTCTATAAATTATAAAAATAAGTTAAAATAAGTTGTGTTTACTGTATTTACTAGAAACCCTGGTGGCACAGTGGTTAAGAGTTTGGCTGCTAAGCAAAAGGTCGGCAGTTTGAATCCACCAGATGCTCCTTGGAAACTGTGTGGGGCAGTTCTACTGTGTCCTATAGGGTCGCTATGAGTCAGAATCTACTCGACAGCAATGGGTTTGGTTTTTTGGTTACTGTATTTACTACATGGTGGGGAAGTTTATTACGGGGGAATTACAATCTTCTTTTAATAAGTAAATCTTGGTAAGATCACCTAACTAATATCTAGTTCCTTTAAAATTCCTTTTAATTTGACCATTAAAAAAAAAAATTCAAGTATAAAAGTACACCTAGCCCACACAGATACCAATCTTTATATATTGTCTATCATACTGAAAACAAAAACTATATCTAAATCTTTTTTAAAAAATCAAGGAGTAATAGATCATTCAGAAAAATGAAGAGAATATTAGAAAAGCTAGGACTTTTATTACTTTCATTCTCTTCACTAAATCTATTATATACTGCTTTCAAACATACAAATAAACTAAGTAATGTTTGATACACTTGGTAGTGACCAGAGAGACTGGAACACAGTTCATCTAAGTAACTACCTAGAGACCCTAAGTTTGAAATAGTTTTGTAATTAGGTGGTAGAAAGTTAGTAGAAAGTAGCTAGCTTCTACTAAGACAGGACGTTGTGTTTCTTTAGTACAAGCCTAAAGATCTTTCTTGAATTCAATTGTCAAGGTCAAATCAAGACAACTGTCCACTGAGATGTTGAGCAAATTATCATGATTGACTACAAGCATCTCCAACCTGACAGGACAGTATTGGAGTGACCCATGGAGTGACCCATAGGAGGCTATCAAGGAAAAGTCTGCTGATAGTCCATTACCACCAAAATTACCAAGGATAGCTAAAAGAAGCAGCCATGTCAGTCACAGTCAGATATCTAGACACAGTTGGTAGTCACTTTAGAGTAGCTGCTAGAGCATACTAAATTACGTATCAGCAGAGTAATGCTTTGAATAGCAAAAACTGACTTCTGAAGAACTCTCAAGATTTTAATACTGACAGAAATGTTGAAATATCGTATACCCTTAAAGGTAAGACTCCAGTCATTGAGTGGCATTCTGAACACTTGCCCACTTTTACTTCCAACTTCACAATATACAAAGTTAAAATCATACTTATTATTACTTTACTGATCACTACATGAAGCAATGCAGTTATTCTAAGGATAAGAAAATTTGAGAAAGGAAAAATAATAATAATAATTGCTGCTGGTGTCATTCTGAATACAGTAGTTATCGGAAGCCCACATAGGACTTTGCAACCATTTTTGTCATATTTTCTTAAAAAATGGCATATACAACTTTTTCTATTCAATTTGGGAAATTTATCGGAGGATTTTTTTTTTTTTTTTTTTGAACTAGCTTACTTTTTACAGGCATCTTGGATATAAAGAGCTCTAAATTCTAAATTCCAACATTTGCCAAAGTACTCACGGCAGTCATCAGGTTCGTCAGATCCATCGCCACAGTCATCCACAGTGTCACATTTCCACCAGAATGGAATACATTTATCAGTTTTGCAACGAAACTTGAAGAAAAGAAAAAAAAATGTTGAAGAACCCAACTCATATATAATGCATACTTAAAAGCTGATGAGGGGAGAGCAGCTTAGCCCACTCTCTTGCTGAAAATGTGAGCTATGGTGGTCTTGGAGCGTTCCACGATAGGCAATGAATGCACAAGGAGCAAAATGATGTGCCAGGGAAACACTTGTTTAGGAAAACCTCTTATGATTTCCTGTGCATACACAGACAAGCTCATTCATTTACATATTGCCTATGACTGCTTTCAAGCTACAACAATTTAGTTTCAACAGAGACCCTTTAACTGGCAAAGTCTACAATATTTACTATCTGGCCCTTTATGGAATAATTTTGCCGACCCCTGAATAGGAGTTAAAAATCATCAAGAATTTTAAGAAGAGGAATCAAATTGAATTAATTTAATTAATTTAATCGAAATGCATTATCTTAGGAATCTTGGACAATTTGCTTAACATCTTTCGGCCTCTGTTCCTTAACCATCAAATGAGAAGTTAAAGATAATTTGGAAGATTCTTTTCAGCTTGGTCATCTGGGATTCCATGAAATTTTCCAAACACTGAAAATGCTGCTTTTAGTGAATATCTTCCTCATAGAAATTTTAAAAATATTTCCTTAAGGCAGTTGACCTCTAAGCAGTTATTTTCAGTTTTTGGAATTAAAAAAAAATGTACATGATGTTTTACTATAAACAAAAAGAAAGTATGATAATTTAAAAAAACAGGTAAAAATAATCTCTGCTGCTGAAAATTTTATTTCTTTTTAAATAGAAGCACAGAAGAAGACTGTTGTAATAAAACTTTTATTTAAGATTATTTTTAAAACTATTCACTAAAATATTTATTGATGTATTTGTATTATTCTTTTCATTTAAAAAAGCTAAGAAAATAGCCATAACAAATATGATAAATCTATTTTTATAGAAATAAAAGGGTTTTTTTTGTTTGTTTTATTCCCCCCATTTAAAATAAACCATCAAGTGGAAGATTATCAACAGAGAAATTCAGTGATATGTTATGTGGTGATATTTACTTAGAGGCTATTTAGCACATATGCGACTTGTTACTAGAGAAAAATTTCAGAATGTTACTATTGCATATTACTTTTATAAAGATCTAATCTGAATCCAAATTCACCCAAAGACAGAGCACAGAAGTACTGTTTCTGTTAACTTCTCTGTTGGCCAACCTTACACAGAGCCCAAGAAAATACAGTCAATTTATTTCTTGGACCATAAACTAATTTCTTTCTTAGCAACAATCCGTTTTAAGCTTACCTCAAAGGACAGAAGAAATTAAAGAAAAGCATATTTTCTATACAGAAAGCATATGCATATGAAAACTTGCTTTTAAAAGATTTACTCTAAATTTTTACAACCAACAGATAAAGTTTAGCCAATTTCTTCAGGTACCATCAATTTTTCTTCTTCACTTTAACAGAACTTCAGGGAAAAACATATATCACAAAGTTCATCTAGAATTGAAAACATTAGTTTTCTTATTTTCTGAACTTAGTATTTCCTTTTTGAAGTGTTTGTTACAATTTCCATGTGAGTGACTGACAGCACATAAGCATTTATCTTAGCATGTTGCATGCGAGAAAGATTTGTAACATAGAAACATACAGCCTATGTTCAATTTTCTCTAATGAAAATGGATTAGTAAGCTAAGAGTTTGTTCAATTAAAATGTTGTAACTTTCTTCAAGTAAAAGAATTTGATGTCAACTTTTGTTGTTGTATCTGTCTGGACTTCATGGAGCTGATTTAAACATAGATTAACATTAATCTTCATATGAGAGTGAATATTGTCTTCCAGTGGCTATATGGGGAGAAAACAGAGCACTATGAATCCAAAGGGAGATGTGGCTGTTCAACTGCTTTTCCCATATTTGCTTAGCCTCTGGTCATGTCTGTTGTGGTTTTTCATATATTCCTAATCCACTGCCGTCTAGTCGATTCTGACTCATAGCAACCCCATTGGGTGTCCAAGGCTGTAAATCTTTATGGAAGCAGACTGCCCCATCTTTCTTCCATTGGAGGCTGGTGGGTTCAAATTGACGACCTTTCGATTAGCCACCGAGCACTTTAACCTTTATATATAGTGACCCTCTGGGAAGATGAGGCTAACTCTGAAAGCGATTGCCCTGAACACTAAACATTTCCAGTGATTACAGTATATCAAAGCACATTACTAAGAGGATTTCAGGTCTCCCAAGTATCTTCAAAGTCTTCCCAATTACAATTTGAAAAATATCTAAAATATATTTTTTTCAATTCACTAAACAGATCTGACTTAAATAAATGCCAACTATTGGAATTACATATGGCATAATGATTTTGCTCTCCATTTCATTTTAACAACAACATAAAAGGATTTTGAGTTCAGAGAAGAGCAAGGTAAATATATATCATATTCCTTTTTTTGCTAATCAATATTTTATTCATTACTCTCAAAAAGAAGATGTCTTTTACTCTGTATCTGGGATTCATTGTTTTATACTTAAATTCAGTAACTTAAAAAAAGATTAATGCTAAATATAACTATAAAATACTCCTCATGGCAAATGTTCTGCAAGACTAATGGCTTCATAAAATAAATCGCAGACTACAATTATCACCCACCAAAGGAAACTATAAACTAGTAAATAAATGTCTCCTAATATGAATACAAGGATAAGATACGCATCCCACAAATAGTGAAGCTTAGTTGAAACAGAAAAAAATCTTAATTTAGAAAAGAAGTAAAGGCATTTTTAAAATTACATTGTATTTTCTAGTTAAAATTATTTACATTTAATATCTAAAATTATTGGTGCTTTCAGAATTTAATTTTATCTCGATTTTGACCAGATTCTCATATGAATACTTACAATACTAATAGAATTCTTACTGGTGTGATTTGCCTATTTTATTTCTCTAAATTCAATAGTAGTTTGGGCATATGTCATTGCTTACAATCATTAGATGATAACAAATTAAATCCCTTAGATAAACTGATAATGTAGCAGTTTTATTGAAATGCTTAATACTATGATTCTGGGATACATAGAGTATTTGTTTCATTTTAATGCCTACCTCACTGAAAACTGTGTGTGTATAAACTGACCTTTTTCCAAGGAGCGTACAGTAGATAATTTTTCTCCCACCGGATCAGAAAAGAATCAAAGATAAAATAGTTACATAAACCAAATGACTTGTAGTAATAAACGCTAATGGATTGTGTTAGCTGTCTTCATTGATGATTTTCCATTAAGATGAAACAAATCAAGTGATAACACTTTTTTTCCAGAAAATGCGGCTGAAAACAAAGATATCTGAGCCACATTCATGTTTGTTCTGTTCTGCTTTTATTGAATTTATAAGAATCTTCATGGAAAAACAATCGGGAGTTGCATTAGGTTCTTAGGAGTGCCGTAACAAACTACCACACGTTTGTTTTAAGCCACAACAGAAATTTACTGTCTCACAGTTCTGAAGGCCCTAAATTAAAAAACAAGGTGTTGGCAGGGACATGTTCTCTCTGAAGACGCTAGGGTAGAATCTGTTTCATGCCTTTCTTTTAGATTCTGGTGTTACCAGCAGTCCTTGGAGTTCCTTCGGTTGTACATCACTCCATTCTCTGCCTCTGATGTTACATAGTGTTTTCCCTGTGTGTGATTCTGTCCCCGAGTCTCTTCTCCTCTACTTATAAGAATGCCAGTCAGATTGGATTTAGGGCCCACCCTACTCCAGGAAGAACTTATGTTAACTTGATTACTTCTACAAAGACTCAATTTCCAAATAAGGTTGTATTCTGAGGTTCCAGGAAGGACATGGATTTTGAGGAACACTGTTCAACCCAATACATGGGTATCTGCAAAATTATAAATATTTTAGTCTGGTCGTCATTGATACCAAATTGGAAAATCATTTAATTACATGCACAACAATTTCTAGGTTGAGTTACGTTTTCATTTAATTGACTGATCAGAGTCTGGGGCACTAAGTAAATACAGGTATAGTTTTTCTTGTATAATAATTTGAAGAGTTTTATTGCTTCATGTTTGAGATGTTCATCCATAGGTCAAAGCGTCCTGTAATGACACTCTTCTGATTGGCCATTGAGGCTCACCACACTCTAGTGCCTTACGCAGGCTTCATCTCTACTAACCCAGCTAATTCTTCCATGTTTGGCCTCAAAAGACTGACTTGAGGGCCACTCAAGAGCAGATCACACAGAGCAGAATATCTAGGAATGCTTATTTAAACTACACATGCCTTTGCCTTATCCTATGCCTCAGTCACTTTGACTTCTTGAATTATGCAAAATATCCTCTAATGATTCTGCTACACCCACTCATGATTTGAACCATCATTCTGTGTGAATCTGTGTAAGAATATTTTTTGTTTGTTTTTTTTCTTTTTGGCCTGTATTTGTACTTCCTAATTTCTAAGGTCCCATTCTAGTGATACATATTAAACTGCTTTTCCCTTGCTATGATGTATGGAATGTTTATCCAATATTACACTAAAAATATATATATATTTTTTTATTAATGGCTTAAGCAAACAAAAAATAAATAAATAAATAAGGCAAGGCCTTTTTAACAACTTGCTTAGGAAAAAAAAAATGCTGTCAAGTTGATTCTGACTCATAGTGACTTTACAGAACAGAGTAGAACTGCCCCAAAGAGTTTTTAAGGGTGGCTGGTGGATTCGAACTGTCAACCTTTTGGTTAGCAGCTGAGCTCTTAACCACTGCACCACCAGGGCTCCAATTTGCTCATTCATCCCATAAAGTGATTTCCAGAACTCCACTCACCTGACTAGCGGTACAGTTGGATAAGCAAGTCCTGTTATCAGCTGCAAGATAAAAGTTGGTAGGGCATGCACAGGTATGGGTCTTTCCAGGGGCTAAAAGGCACAAATGACTGCAACCTCCATTATTGATCATGCAGAGGTGTTTGGAGACTACAGGTAAGAAAGAAACAACAACAAAATAAGATAATTAAGACCAATAATATAACGTGGATTAAAGCTAGGACAGTTAAGCTTCATAACTTGTATTTGAATATGAATTTGTAATCAAGAAATTATCAAGATTGTAAATATAATTTAATATTGTTACAAACGCTACTATTTGTCTAATGACATTTATTTTACCGTTAAATACTTTTAAGGATGCATTTACATGAAAACAAACATTTTTAGCAGAAAAAAAAATTGCCCTTCAGAAAAATAAACAGACTAGAAAGATTTTGGATGAGGACAAAATATGTTCAGAAATATAAATGTAAAATAAAACAATGGAACAATGGTCTAAAACTAATGGTACAGCGACTTTGCTTTGTAGGCAAGATATATGTTTAAAGTAAAATGATAAAACCTTTATTATACAAGGCCTGATATCCTTCCTACTAGATACATATATAAGCCAACAATATATTTCTCATTTTTTGAGTCCTAGAGCTAGTGAAATAAATTCCTTCCACCAAGTATCCCAGAAACATAGATTCCTATCTTCATTTTTTAAGCAAATTATTTCATGAATGCATTCTTCACTTCTCTAACTGGACATTTTATTGTGGTTTCAGCTTAATATGACTGCAACAAATCATTAATTCTTTGTACAAATATTGAGCTTCTCATTCTGTTCCTTAATAACAGTACTTGATATCAACAGAACTCATTCTGTACAATGATTTTAAATAATAAAACCTGGTAATCTTTCTCAAAAATAAAATTATACTTAAGCTTGGAGAAAAAAAAATGGAATGTTACTGAAAGATGTTTATGCATTTATGGAAATCATGTAAAGAATAATTACCATCCGGTTGTCTATAAGAATGATACACCTGGATATCTGTGATGGCATGCCATGAGTTAATCAGTGAGAGTCTGTCTGCTCCCGAGGTTTTATGAGCACGGCTGAGTGACTTGGTTTTCCCATCAGTCCAGTAGATGTAGTCTTCAAACAATGTTAGTGCAATCACCCCCGGAATATCTTGATTAGGGACTGTAATAGGAGATGGTAAGATTAATGTTCAGTCTTGGAAGACTGCCAGTTAAAATATTCAATACTGCATGGGCTGACAGATACAACCACTACAGAACTTCATGTGAATAATTGCTGTCACAACATGTCAGGCCAGCAAGGTTCTTTAATACCGGTTAAGAGAATGAAAGACTGGACACAGGAATTCACTTTGCTCAGATTTAGCTTGGTTCAATCAACCATTAGAAGGAAAAAGAACAATATCCCACTCACAAGGAATGGCTGCTGCACCAGAAATAAATAACATCCAACATTTTAAAATTAACTATGTAATATATATGTGTGTGTGTGTGTGTGTG